GGATAGAAAAGTCGGAAAACATGTAAATTTCCGACTTTTCTCATTTTTCTGCAAATTTTCAGCGATTTTATATCACATTTTGTTTAAGAAAATAAAGAGCACAAGCTTGTCTATCTACAAAAGTTATATACGAATATCATACGTATATCATACACTTATATCAGATGCATTTTAGATATAAAAGTCTCTGATATTTTTCGAAATGAAAACTATCTTAAATTAAACTAAATTCAAACAAAATTGCAAAAAGTTGGGGAAACGTCCCAATTCTGCGCCCTCTTGTGGCCTCTGTTTAAGATTAAAATCAAAATAAGAGTCAATTTTTATTTTAAGTCCCTGACTACAGAATATCAAAATTGTGACTACGTTTTGGTTTGAAAATCATGTAGAGCTTTTAGGAGAATGAATTAGTTTATAAAACAAAAATTCTATGCAATATCAATGTCTTTGTGTTGACCAGGAAAAAAAAATCAACCACTACATAAAAGTCTATGTATGATATGCTTAATAAATCATTAATTAATCTTCTAACGAGGAAAAAATCAATGTAAACAAATAAATTCAATATCATGACTTTTTCCTTAATTAGAGTAGATGCACATTTTCAAACGTAGAATTACATAAATAAATAAAATAGTTCAAGAGAACGGGATCTCTTTTTTATGATTATTAAACTAAATGCTCTAAGATTTGTGGAGAAAATATTTCCCAACTCTGTAAACATTAAAATGCATTTGAGATATTCATGAGAAACCCACTCAAAATCCCTGATAAGAGGAAGATGATATAAAATATATTAGCCTTATTTTCTTTGATTTTAAAAAACTGATTGTTCTATGAACGTCTGCTTCCGTCAGGAATGGTAGAAATTAAAAACAGAATTACGCAAGGTTGAAATTAGATCCACATTTGATAAAATTCGACAAATATTTGTAGATACTGCTTTTTAAAACCTTTTTTTCATATTGACACTTTTTTTTTATATTTCCAAATTATTTTTTTTCTTTTTTTTTTGGGGGGGGGGGGGGGTGCTTGTTTACCAAGTAGGTGTAAAATTGAAATAAAGGCAACAAGACTGTTAACAAGATCATTCATGTAACATTCACATCACATTTACAAATAAAAAAAAAACGCTAATGTTTTTTAATAAATCGATTTTACTATATGTGCAATGTTCTCATTTTATTTTAACGATATTTTGAGAAAGATTAATTCAATATTAAAAGGCATATTCATCAATTTCATTTTTGCCATGGAAGTTTGAATATGATGGCATAATGTATTTCTTTTGGTATGCCAATATCTTCTGTGTTACTTTGTAAATGCAGCAAACCTTCAAGCATTTTTAAAAGAATTCCTTTAAAACTAAAAGAGAGGCCTGTGTAGAGACGAATAATGACCCCCATCGAATAATGACCGGTAGGTCATTTTTTAACGACAGAAAATGACCTCCCACACGTAAAAAAAAATATTTTTTGTAGAAAAAGAGCACCAGGGGGTAATTATATTATTGGTGTGTCCCATAAAAAATTGACCCTGTTGTAATATAACCCCATTTAGTGTTATCTTAAATTTTTAATTAAATTGATTGAAAGCATCAGATCGACCGCAAAAATATTTCATTTGAGCATTTTAAAGAATTTTCATAGGAATAATAAAAAGAAAATACATGTACTATGCATGGTACATATCTCAATGTAATCAAAGATACTCATAAAAGTATCTGAATCCACAAAGTTATGTAAATTTATCCACAATATTTCTCATAAGTTATTGATTAAAGTTAATCATATTGTATACATTTAGATGATAAAAATGACAGATCTCCAATATTTTTGCAGAAAAAGCGAATTGGAATATCAGCGATGTATTTTCTAATTGCAAATTGATCATCAAATATATTTTAGGTTAAAAAACGATAGGTATCTAGTCATTCAGAACAATTGTCATGATTTCCATACTTATTTGGTATTTTTTGTCTTCTATTTCCGTCATATATTCTATAATACATAGTGTAAAAGGCTTCTGTTATCATTGCAAGACACTACAAATCATTCTAATATCATATCATGCTTATAATCATTGGTATCTAAGGCTGAATTCAAGATAATTTTCTTTTTCTAAAGCTGTTTTATTAATTTTTTCTCCTTTTTTAGGGTACAAATATCAACTTTTATAATACCTTTTCTAAGACTTCCCAATGACCTTAAATCTTATAAGGATAAATAAATTGAAAATTATTGCATGAAAAATTATCATTTTCAAGCTTCATTTTGATGCATTTCAAATTAAATATTAATTTTTTGAGCTATCTTTCCTGTCTGAGGATCGGATAACCTTAATATATAAAATTGCTTAACACTTACTATTGAACAAACAGCAGATTCATTTTTAGAACCTTTATTTTAACTTATGGAATAAAAACGTACGTTACACAATTTGTCGTACGTTACAAAATTTGTGCGTTTTATATTCATTAAGTAAAATATACTTTTGCTGATAGGACATCCAAGTGTCTGATTTTAATTTTTGTGTTTGTTGCCAACATTTACTAAAGGAATTGAGAAACTTTCATTCGACTAGAAACTCTCCACTTTAGTCTCCATCATTCAGAAGCATGTCTTTATCAGTAAATTAAAGCGGTTTGATGATTGAGACTTATTTTCACAAATTGTTTACATGTATTTCATTTATTTGACAATTGTTGGGTATATTATTTTTTCTTATTGATTTAATGTAGCATTTACAGCTCAAGGCACTTTTTAAGCTCACATGGTTTTTCGCACAAATTAAGGTCACATTGTTGTTCTAGAAATTACCATTTTCGAACTGCAGTACAATGACATACCCTGGTACCCCTACGTTATATAACAAATATAATGTTCAAGCATAGATGTCTTTTAAAATTATTATCTTAAGTTTCCAAAGTGAATGTTTTTTAAGGGGAATTTATATATAAATGGTACGATGTTTCGACTATTCAATTCTACCATATGATTTTAACAATTGTATAAAACGAATTTTTCTTGATACCATGTAGTTGAATTTTTTTATTATCCTTCTTAGAGGTGAGTAGTTTTTAAAAATTCTTTGTTCATTTTCCATACTCCTCTTGTATTTGTCGAAATGTAGCGCCAAAAAGGAATACCATTGATAAAGGAAACCACACTGAAGGGTAAGATAATGAAGTATTGTTTATTTTTTTAAATAGTAAATTCCTTCTATGGGGAGGAAAATTCCTCTGCATTTACGATTTGAAAGGTTAAAATTTTGAAGTGGGATGAATCTCTCATGAGTCCAGATTTTAGAACTTGACACGGAACAACCCTACCTTATTAACATACAAAGCCATCAAACAGTTGAAAAATACTATTATCACCCCAAGCTAAAGTATCAAAATGTATAGAAAATACCAGATACAGTAGCTAAACTGTGCCAGTGTCTACGTTTCTGAACAGAGATATTGCTTTCAATAGAACGGATAAAAAGACAGCTGCAACTTGCCAAAACACACAAAAATTCAAATGTGAGTAGTTTTTTTTCAGCCATAAAATATCAAAGTTCTACTAACTGATATGAAAAAGGAGTATTACTTAAGGTAAAAAAAATCTGGAAGAACTATCTGCTTGGAAAAAAATCGAACGGCAGAAACATGTTTCCTGTATACAGTGATCCCCATTATTGTATTTATCAGAGAGTTAAGCAGATGTCCGTGTACGTTTACGTGTACGTGTAGCTAGGGAAATCCCCTAGTTAAATGCAACTGACGTCTTTAATTCTACAAGTTGTACACAACGTGTAGATTCGAAAGTACATGTAGGTGAGAACTTGAAGCTTCTTACATTCAAACTACAAAATAATTATTTTTAAGCCGGTGTTTGGTCTAAAGTTTAGAATTTATTACGTACATTCAATATATCTTTTTTTTTTTTATTTCAAGTCATAGATTTAATTGATACACATGGATTGAAAAGTACTTTGCTGAAATGACGTTTAACACATACCGGTTCACGTTCAATTTGTTAAACAGAACACGACATTAGTTACGCGTACGTGTAAAATCACTTCTAGGTTTACACGTACAAGTAGATGTACACGGTCAAATGCTTAATCTCTCTATTGTCAGATGTGTTTCATAGCGAGAAGTTGAACCTATCAAAGATCGAAATGAAACACTTCCTAATGGAGATAATGAACAGTGTTTAAGCTAAATGGCTCATTAAATAAAGCTGATCTGGAGCAGTGCAAATACGTACCATTGAAATTTCAGACAGCGTGCAATGGCGGAGTGAGCATCCCCTGGCGACCGGTCTCATCAGTAGTGTGCGTATTGTCATGAACAGGAAATTTAAAAAAAAAAACTGTAAACAAGATTGCAAAAAATTTGCTAAAAACTACACAGACAAAATGGATTAGGAATCAGGAAGACAACGTTTTGACGATGAAAACATATTCTAAAATAATTTTTTTAAAGATATATATCAGAAAATACGTCGTTTCATTTCAGCTCAGTCGTCTGGTAATTCTTGTATAACATTAACAGAAAGGTTAATATTGATCAGTCATCAGTACATGATTGATTGATTAATTGTATACTGTTTAACGTCCATCTCCAGAATATTTCACTGATATGGAGACGTCACCATTGCCGGTGAAGGGCTGCAAATTTAGGCCTATGCTCGGCACTTACGGCCTTTGAGCAGGGAGGGATCTTTATCGTGCTACACTTGCTGTGACACTGGGTCTCGGTTTATACGGTCTCATCCGAAGGACCGCTCCATTTAGTCGTCTTTTACGACAAGCAAGGGGGTATTGAGGACCTATTCTATCCCGGATCCCCACGGAGCATCATTACTTGATAAACTGAGTCTGTTATAAAAACCAGGCTTGACAAGATAATACTATGAATTATCAAGGTCTTCTGTTTCCAACGAAAGACCTTCTACTGATTCTGTTGTTTCTTTTCCACTATTATATTATTAGAGAAAACCACACATATATAAATTTCTTAAAGTTTAATGGCGAATAATGGCCATGGCAGCACTACAATTTTCAGGAAATTACATTTAGTTACTGGTTACAATCGTAACCAAGGTTACCGACCCAAATACATTGGGCGATTTTGGCAACCCAAATGGCAAATGGCAAATACATGTAAATGAAAATCATCATGAAATGGGCAAATACATTGGGTGATTTTGACAACCCAAATGGCAAATACATGTAAATGAAAATCATCATGAAGTAGGCAAATATACAAATGAATATGAAATAGGCAAATATACAAATGAAGCTGTTAAGCAACCTACTGGCAAATAATACATTGCAAATGTTTCATCCAGTGTGACACAAATAAGCAAATTGAAATTTCACACATATTGAAAATAATTATGTACAGTTGTAGCGAGCCCTGGGAACAGATGCTCACTAAATATAACCCTATTTAAGTTCAGCTAAAGATTGCATAGTCTTATTTCATTAGTTATACATACAAATCGGGAATCGTACGAAAATCAGTCACATGTAAGACAACAGTGAGCTCTGGGGCAAGATACTCACTACACATATTAATCACTATTCAAGTCCACCGACAGATTGTGGAAGGCATCTAGAGAATTGTAACTTCATTGGTGCAGGTACGGTAATAGTTGGTTACATCGACAGCCATCGGAGGTTACGGCCATGCAGTGCGCCATGACGAAGTTAGGTGTTGAACTACGAGATATACAAGGTTCACATATAAATCACTATTCAAGTCCACCGACAGATTGTGGAAGGCATCTAGAGAATTGTAACTTCATTGGTGCAGGTACGGTAATAGTTGGTTACATCAACAGCCATCGGAGGTTACAGCCATGCAGTGCGCCATGACGAAGTGAGGTGTTGAACTACGAGATGTACAAGGTTTACATATAAATCACTGTTCAAGTCCAACGACAGATTTTTGAACGCATCTAGAGAGTTGTAACTTCATTGGTGCGGGTACGGTAACAGTTGGTTACATCAACAGCCATCGGAGGTTACAGCCATGCAGTGCGCATGATGAAGTTAGGTGTTGAACTACAAGATGTACAAGGCTGAAAATAGAAAAAATTCAGGCAGCAGAAAATTGACACCAAACAGACGATTTATTTCATATATTCATACATTACATATAGGGTGTTGGTGGGTGGGAATTTTTTAACACAATATAAAATAAATAAACAAATTTTTATCTTGAGATGCAGGATATGTCTGCTCCCCTTCATTCTCTAACGGAAAAGGAAGTCCTAAGGATTCAACTAAAATACCCAAAGTTGAAAGAACGGGGAAATACTAATGACCCGATAACCCCGAATATGGGCCTCTCTAATAACGCGATTTAATTTTCAGCAATTAAATCGAATTATTAGAGAAAACCACACATATATAAATTTCTTAAAGTTTAATGGCGAATAATGGCCATGGCAGCACTACAATTTTCAGGAAATTACATTTAGTTACTGGTTACAATCGTAACCAAGGTTACCGACCCAAATACATTGGGCGATTTTGGCAACCCAAATGGCAAATGGCAAATACATGTAAATGAAAATCATCATGAAATGGGCAAATACATTGGGTGATTTTGACAACCCAAATGGCAAATACATGTAAATGAAAATCATCATGAAGTAGGCAAATATACAAATGAATATGAAATAGGCAAATATACAAATGAAGCTGTTAAGCAACCTACTGGCAAATAATACATTGCAAATGTTTCATCCAGTGTGACACAAATAAGCAAATTGAAATTTCACACATATTGAAAATAATTATGTACAGTTGTAGCGAGCCCTGGGAACAGATGCTCACTAAATATAACCCTATTTAAGTTCAGCTAAAGATTGCATAGTCTTATTTCATTAGTTATACATACAAATCGGGAATCGTACGAAAATCAGTCACATGTAAGACAACAGTGAGCTCTGGGGCAAGATACTCACTACACATATTAATCACTATTCAAGTCCACCGACAGATTGTGGAAGGCATCTAGAGAATTGTAACTTCATTGGTGCAGGTACGGTAATAGTTGGTTACATCGACAGCCATCGGAGGTTACGGCCATGCAGTGCGCCATGACGAAGTTAGGTGTTGAACTACGAGATATACAAGGTTCACATATAAATCACTATTCAAGTCCACCGACAGATTGTGGAAGGCATCTAGAGAATTGTAACTTCATTGGTGCAGGTACGGTAATAGTTGGTTACATCAACAGCCATCGGAGGTTACAGCCATGCAGTGCGCCATGACGAAGTGAGGTGTTGAACTACGAGATGTACAAGGTTTACATATAAATCACTGTTCAAGTCCAACGACAGATTTTTGAACGCATCTAGAGAGTTGTAACTTCATTGGTGCGGGTACGGTAACAGTTGGTTACATCAACAGCCATCGGAGGTTACAGCCATGCAGTGCGCATGATGAAGTTAGGTGTTGAACTACAAGATGTACAAGGCTGAAAATAGAAAAAATTCAGGCAGCAGAAAATTGACACCAAACAGACGATTTATTTCATATATTCATACATTACATATAGGGTGTTGGTGGGTGGGAATTTTTTAACACAATATAAAATAAATAAACAAATTTTTATCTTGAGATGCAGGATATGTCTGCTCCCCTTCATTCTCTAACGGAAAAGGAAGTCCTAAGGATTCAACTAAAATACCCAAAGTTGAAAGAACGGGGAAATACTAATGACCCGATAACCCCGAATATGGGCCTCTCTAATAACGCGATTTAATTTTCAGCAATTAAATCGAATTATTAGAGAAAACCACACATATATAAATTTCTTAAAGTTTAATGGCGAATAATGGCCATGGCAGCACTACAATTTTCAGGAAATTACATTTAGTTACTGGTTACAATCGTAACCAAGGTTACCGACCCAAATACATTGGGCGATTTTGGCAACCCAAATGGCAAATGGCAAATACATGTAAATGAAAATCATCATGAAATGGGCAAATACATTGGGTGATTTTGACAACCCAAATGGCAAATACATGTAAATGAAAATCATCATGAAGTAGGCAAATATACAAATGAATATGAAATAGGCAAATATACAAATGAAGCTGTTAAGCAACCTACTGGCAAATAATACATTGCAAATGTTTCATCCAGTGTGACACAAATAAGCAAATTGAAATTTCACACATATTGAAAATAATTATGTACAGTTGTAGCGAGCCCTGGGAACAGATGCTCACTAAATATAACCCTATTTAAGTTCAGCTAAAGATTGCGCGAATGGACACTATGTGTCCACCGCCACAATGGCGGTAGCTGAACGCTTATGATTAAACCCCCCGCCCCTCCTTTTTAAAGAATGGCAAAGCAAATAAATTAACATTGCATACCAAGACAAATGTGTATAAAACAATCACATCAGCTACATCTATTGTGTGTCTATTTTAGTGTGCTTTACATTATTTAGTCAGTGAAATAGAGTGCCATGGCCATTAAAGGCCACCCTTGACATTTTAAAAATTATGCAATGCTTTCTTCAAAGTTTCAACAAAAAATTTTTCATTGCCTTGCTCTAACAAGTGCACCCCATCCTCTTAAAGTAGAGTATGATCAACCAAAGTGAACTCTGGGCAACACATATATCCCCCTTGATGGGCCAACAACAAAGCTATAAACTCAAAACCCGACTTTAGTAAGAGCATGGTTGTCCCTAACATTATGCCAAATCAATCTAGGTAATATCTGAAACCAAATAATTTTCAATAATTGTTGTTTGGTAACAGAACTAAAATTGAATCAAAAGAATTATTTATGCTAAAATGCAAAACACATAATGGAATTTGACCAATGTCTTTGCCATTGCAATGTAGAACCAGATTATCATTGTGGGGGATCTTCATACCTTGACATTAATTTGATTTTTGGGAGATGTCACCATCTCATGCCGCCTTTTCCCTGCCACCAGATATTAGCTTTCAATGTGGATAACCCAAAATTGGACCCCCCTTTTTTCTAGCATAACCAAAACCATAAGTCTCTGTCGAGACTGTAGCTCTACTGGTTTATACTTAAAACAAAGGAAGAGAAAAGTAGCAGTTGATACTTGAAACTTTAAAACAGCAATAAATAGAAAAATGATCCTTGCCACTCATCAATATAAAAACCGATGCACAAAATCATGTATCCTACATGTAGCATAGTCCACCTGTGTGCCAAGTTATCTTGAAATAAGACCAAAACTGTAGGAGGAGTAGCATTTTGAAAGAATTTCACAGAAATTTCTATTCCTAGTAATCATGGCAGCACCAGTCGATGAAATCCCAAAATCATGCCATAATATTGAGGATCCAAAAATATGTACATGTAAACAAAAATGATCATATTTAAAATAAGATTTAGCATAAGGTATTAGAAAACCTATCAAGCTATACTGCTTGAGGTGTTTAAGAAGTAATACAAACAACTGAGTCTTTAGCCATCAATAAATTTGAGGTTTGTATTCTTATTTATCTCTTGTAAGCTTTTGATCCCCAACGACCTAATTCTTGATAAAATTGGCAATCTAGCATCTACAGAACTTTGCAGTCTTGACATGCCTACCACCATCTTTTTCATAACAACAAAGTCTCAAGTACCATCAAGTTTACATTTAAAGCTGGTACCTGATAGATATGTTCTTACCGTAGAATATGACAGATTATCTATTATCTATTTTTCATCAGGATGCCAAATCGGATGTGACCCACAAGATAATAAGACAAGCCTTGAACTATATAATGTTTGAACTGGACAAGCTAAAAAATGTTATGTCCCTGATTACTTTAGTACCAACCCATTCACTTGGCCTCTTAAAAAACAACCAATGATTCTTGAAGAAAGTGCCACAACTTAATTCTGAAATCCATGAACTATCAGTAAATAATTAAAGTTGATCATTGTCTACTCAGTCAATTTGTGGAAAGTAACAGCAGCCATTGAACAAATCTAAAAAAGTAAGCCACACTTCCAAGTCCTCCTTAACCACCACAGAAACCTTGATAAAGTGATGTGGTTTACAGACCCCATGCATGATGTCATAAATTATGCCTAGTGAATGCCCGGCCTAACGGAATGGCAAGCAAACAAAAATTCAACAAACCTGCAAGAGCCTTAAATTCCTTTAGGGTAGCCTTCTTTCCTGACATAAAACTGTTGATCAATTCTTTAAACTATTCTACTTATCAACTGGGTTTGTTAACATCATTTCAAACAAATCTAACTCAAAACCCAAAAAGGTCAGGGGAGTGGAAGGCCACACTGTTTTATCATCAGCTATTGAGGGGACACCTAACTGCTCGCATAGCCCCACAAAGAATGACATGAATTCCTACCTGCCCTACCAGGAAACCAAAATCATCTAAGTAATGCACAACAGATTTCTGACCAGACTGTTGCTTCAATATCCATTCCAAATATGATGAAAATTCCTCAAAAAGACTACAAGACACCACAAAATATTTATTTAAATCCTAAAAGCTCAAAGATCTGCCGGGTGAACATGAAGCAACCTAAATGCAGATTTGAGGTCCATTTTTCCCAATTCAAGGCCCCCTTACCCAACAAACTTAGTAACCTAACTGCATCATCTAATGAGGAGTAATTGACTGAGGAGAAAGATAGATCAATAAAGGAATTAACACTCAAGTTTTCCGGTTAAGATAAATAATGAATCAACTTAAATGATCCATCTTTTTTCGGTACTAAACCTACAGGTCAATTAAAGCCTAAGACTGGGAAAGGGTCTTGAATAGAATGGGCCAGTAACTCCTCCAGCATAATTTTAAAAACTTTTTTCAGAATTCCAAGCTCATTATCCCTAGCTGACTTTAAATTGAAACCAATAGTAACTACCCTTTAACCATGAATTTAGAAACCTTCATAAAACCCCTTTGGCAAAATTTCTGAACTCTTCCTATTATAATCAGTTTTGTAAATAAGCTGCATAAACTTCTACTTTAAATGGGGAATAACCTAGGTCCTGCAGATTGTGGTGCACTGGGAAATCATGCTCAAGGCTGGGGTGGTCTTGATGAAAGTCTCTGGTTCCTGTATTATAATGGGTACCTGTGACCTGAAAAATCTCTAGAAGCATATTGATATTTAGCAGACGGGCCTTTTTAAATGGATGAGGCCCGCTACAGTTCAAACATTTATGTAATTAGTGGCACTGCAATTCACACAAACCCTATAATTGTTATAGTCATAACATTTACACCCCCCCCCCCCCCCCGGGAAGGTTTTGCACCGGACCAATAAACGATGGTACCATGTACAGTAGCTAAAGCTCCTGATCAAATATTCATGAAACACTTGAATTTCTTGCAATTCTCATTTGAAATTGACCATTATAAAACTGCCACCTTATATCTGTTAGCCTATCTGCTAGCCCCTACACAAACAGCGTGGATTTATTTAAACAAGCCAAAAAAGAATTTCTGTAGGGTGTACTGTGGCATATACTGAAGAGAAAATAAAAAATGCATCAGTCCACTACTGTACATTTGTAATTTTAACTGTAACCCATTTCGATTCAATTACTACTTGACCATTAGAGACTGTTAGTGTTTGCTTATCAACCATCAGGACCGGATTGGACAGAAGCTGTCATAAATCAATGTATTCGTCCTCAAAATTTCCCCCAAACTACAGCATATACCATCGATCTCATTACCTGTTGTATCAACATGATTGGCTGTCTCTACATTGAAATCAGATTCATTGCTGGAACTAGTGGAAAAAGTAACCACACTTGCAGTAACCATGGTACCAATAATGACTGTACAGGGTATGTTTTCCTCTGACGAAACTTCTGTAGATTCGACTGATCCCACTTTTTGGTTTAGGCCCGCTCGTAGGTGCTGATTTCCGCTTCACCGGCTTGGCAGCGGGTTTAACTCTAGGCATTTTCTGAAACTACCGACTTTGGAATAAGAAATACAATATAGAAATAGGCCTAATAATAAAGTTATAATTATTATTATTTTTAATATTGACTCAGCGTTACGACTTCGACAATTTTTTGTAAATAAAATCATTATTATTATATTTTGCTCAAATATTGACTAAGCGTTACGACTTTTCTGTTTTATATTACGCATGTGGTTTTTCAAAATCGAAAAACATCCGAAAAGTCATGTAGGTAATGATGCAAATACACACGAAAATAAAGATTGCTAGAAACATTCTCCTTAAATTTCATGCATAACATGAATTTTTTAACACAATATAAAATAAATAAACAAATTTTTATGTTGAGATGCAGGATATGTCTGCTCCCCTTCATTTTCTAACGGAAAAGGAAGTTCTAAGGATTCAACTAAAATACCCAAAGTTGAAAGAACGGGGAAATACTAATGACCCGATAACCCCGAATATGGGCCTCTCTAATAACGCGATTTAATTTTCAGCAATTAAATCGAATTATTTTATTACCGATTTTGTGTGGAAGATTTCTCAAGAACGCCTCGACAGATTTTCATGAAACTTTCAGCAATGATTGCAAATCATCTGAACTCAAGGCGTTTTTATGATGTTGCTGACGTCACTTCCGGTCGCAAAATCAGCCAATTTTCTGTTTTTAAAGTGTTATTTTGTCCGAGAGTGTTCTAAAAAAAGTTTTGAAACTTTCAGGGATGATAGATTGTAACACATGCCATTCAATTTTGTATAAATTTTTCGTTGCCGTCACGTCTGTTGTAGACCGGAATTAGCTTAAAAGATGCAAATTTTTATTTTTCCCTTTTCC